GAATTAATTATTTAATTATTATGCAATAATTTTATATAATTTAGACTTGTGGATAAAAAAAACGGTAGGAATGATTGTGTGAAAGGAGAAGAAAAATTGAAATTCAATACTTCATTTACCGAAAATATGTCAAAGTCGCACCAAAACAGTATTCTAATTACGCAAAGCAGATGATTTGATAAGCTAATAATGTGTTGGGAACACCTAATTTTGTAGTCCTTTTCATATTTTATCTTTTTATACAAATTTTAATTGAATTGATAATTAAATTTTTTTTTTTACAAAATTAGTTAATAATTAAGCAGTTGAATATTTGTTATACAGTATAAAATTAAGAGTTTTTATTATATTGATATATTTTTTATTTTTAATAAATCTTTACTTTTTAAAAATTATTTTTAATTAATAGATGTTTCACAGGATAATAAGTAAAATTTCCCCTTCAATCTATGTAAAAAGATGCATTAGTCAAATTAAATCAAATTAAATTTGTGTCAAATTAAATTAAATTTGTGTAAAATTTTGCCATTTTTTTTTTAGTTTTCTATCTAGTATCAGAAATTCACTGGTCCGATCAATCCGAATTCACACCAAATAGGCCATAAAGAGAAAAAAAATTTTATTTTTGAATATTTAAAGGCACTCTATGCTTGAAGCTCGAATTTAAAAACACGTTCTTAAAAACATTTTGAATTATCAAAATTTGATTTTTGGAGTGTGTCAATAGAGAGACCAGTATAAGTGAACAACTAGTAGTGGAGTATGTCCATTTTGCACATTTGAGGCAATTGGTTGAAGGTGCCCTATAAATATAATTATCAATTCCACTATTAATAAGAATACTGATATTGAAGGACAATGTGCTAAAAAGGACATGACTAATTCGACCATTTCCCACCAAATCAATGTCTCAATTTATTGAAAGACTGTACTCGTCAACCTTAACGGGCAATCGCATTCATTATTTGTTAGGCATTGCAATAAAGAAAGCAGACCTTTTTTTTTTTTAGTACTGGAAGTGGAAATTCGAATTGATCTATTATCAAGACGTATATGCATTTATTATTGATGTGTGAAATAAGATCTATTTGCTAGTAGCTTATTATAAGATAATTCTTTTAATCTATTTCTTGCAAAAATACTTTAGACATGTGTTTCAAGAAAACTCATTGATAAAAAATTTGGAATACTAAAATTATAAACAAGATCAAATTATAATGAAATCTGGATAATTTTTTTAGACGGAAAATGATATCACAGAGCAGTTTTTATATCATGTATCATATTAAATTCATATGTTTATTTCAATTAAGGAATATTCTTAGTTTGGTATAATTGCTCGAATCAAATTATAATGAAATCTGGATAATTTTTTTAGACGGAAAATGATATCACAGAGCAGTTTTTATATCATGTATCATATTAAATTCATATGTTTATTTCAATTAAGGAATATTCTTAGTTTGGTATAATTGCTCGAACTCATTAGCTTTCAAAAAAAAAAATTTAGAAATTTATATTTTTGCCCTAATTTTATTTTATATATTAGTAGAGGTTGATCAATGCTTAGCAACTACCTTAACAAGAAACGACTCAAAACTAAAAGAAAATAAAGAACAAAAAAATTAATTAAATAAAAAAGAAAAAAGAGAATGTGTTATATATAAGATGAGGCTTGCTTACACCAGGTATATGAGTCGACCTATATATCAAAACCAATCAATGATGAGATTTTTCAAAAGTTGTTAAAATTTTTAACTTTTTTTTCGGTAAATATTTATAAATATGTCCATTTTAACTAAAAACTTAATTTTAATTAGTTTTAGTGTATAGATAAACTCATACATCTGAGTATAAATAAGTCTTTCTCGTTATATATAATACAATCTTACCTAAGATTTGAATAGCCATGTCTCTAAAGCGAAGTTGGCGATGACCCATAAGAGCATGATGTTCAAGAACCAAAGACAGTAAGTTATAGGAATAGAAAGTGACCAAAGCTCCGATAACAAGACATGAAATTCCAGCTCCCCAACCCAGAAATGTGAAAGCATATGGGAGGCTTAGAAGAGCTGGAGCAACTATTGATGTTGTCAAGTGGTATCCACAGTGAAGCCACGATCCTACATTAATTAAATTGGTAAAATATCATTTTAATAATTCTAAATTAATTACTAAAAATATTCAAATCTGAAACATTTCAATCCACATATCTCTTAGTAATGATGTTACTGTAACATATAATTAGTATGCGATGGCAAAATTAATTATTTTCAATATTTAATAACAAAAGAAAAGAGTGGTTCATCTATAATACCAAAAGGAAAAAGAAAAAGAAAAAGACAAAGAGAAGGGTTGTTTACAAAACTACAAGAGTTTTGGAATGTGATTATGCTTAATATTATTTTAAAACTAGTTTACAAATATGCTTAAAAGTTAAAAACTATTCACTTGTGCTTTTCATTTCCCATCAATTGACAAAAATAGAAACATAAAGTCATGAAAAATGTGTGGATGATAATAATGATAGTTCGAGGTGAGATACACAACTAATTATATATAGTGATGGCTGAAAGAGAATTTTAATTCTAACAAGAAAAAATATTTTTCTTCAAAAAAAAAAAAAAAAGGAAATGATAAACATTGAGCAAAAAGATTATATTCATATATTTTTTTTTTTTGTCAGTAATCGAAGTTCAAAAACTTTTTTTTTCCTTTTCATTTTTCTTGAACTGTCTTTAAAGAAGATGATCATAAAAGAAAAGAGAAAGAAAGTATGATACCTTTGGATTTGAGAACAAAAAGAGCGCCAGCATCAAGCTCTTTTGCTTCTTGTTGTGGAAACTTCCCAATATCTTCCTCACCGTTCACTGACACAGTTCCCATCTCTCTGGCTTTCCCTCTCAGCAAAGGAATAGTTTATAAGAAGAAGAGAAAGCAGAGGAAAAAGGTGAGCGAAATTATTAGAATTGAAAAGCAGAAAAATATATATAATACCCTTTAAACAATAATTAATAATATCTATATGAATTTAGTAAAGAATAGTCAAAGAACTGACTTTAATGATTGTTCACTGATCTGTCCACATATGGACTTTCCCTTTCTCTAATAACAACAACCCTTCAATAAGACAAAATACTACTTAACATTCCAACTTGCTATATTGTATATATAATATCTGTGGATATTTTGAGACAAAAAAAATTATAAAATTGACATTAATACAGTTTCTCTACACGTATGTCCAATAGCCTACACGTTTTGGTTGAAACTCTCTCCTTATTAAAGGGTTCAAATTTGAACTTTGAATATGAAAATTCAGAGTCGACTATTATATGGGACCTACAATACTCAAACCGAATTTAATCAAAGTCCAGGATCCAACTAACTATGACGAGCAAATCTTGTTCATCGTGTATCAATTTTAAGATCTTAATGACTAATGATAAGCGAAAGAGTAACATGAAAATAATAAATCACAAATATAATTTGGAGGCTCTTTCTAAATAGTTTGCCTAGTACGATGAATAGCAGCCTAACTATACTATGAGCTACTATATTTGCTTGATGTCTAATCCAATGGACAACCCATCCATTGTCTAAACTCAATAATTTTTGACAATCTGACAAAGTATTATCGAACCCATGTAAACATAAGTCTCTTGACATTGCTATGAAAACACCTCTCTTTGGGCCAGAATTACATAAAAGAGAACCTGAGATAGCACAAATAAAAAAGATCCTGAAAATGACATAATATTACCGCATACAATTTGCTTGCTTCTTCAAAAATCGCAGCATCCACATTGCATTTGAGTCTCCGGTTTAGTCCAACTAGAGCTACTTGTTCAACATTGGCTAGCGGTAGAAGAATTCTGCCTGCGCATCTGACGTAGCATGCAGGCCATACCATGAAAGGGATTAACTTAGGATTAGGAATTCTGCCTGCGCATCTGACGTAGCATGCAGGCCATACCATGAAAGGGATTAACTTAGGATTAGGTTTAAGCTTGAGTGAGGTTAGGTCAAGTATTAGCTTAAAGGCCCATCAAAGCACTTGGTTTAGACGACCTCAAAGATTATATAGCAGTGGACCCTTTAAACATGCATCATAAATGAAATAAGTATATCTTCTATAACAGAACCATAGCTCCATCCAATCTACAGATCAAGAGATAAACATTAATTAATTAAGACGACGAAGCAAATTTAATATATATATATTAAAGATGTATTATCCTTAAATGCAGAAAGCCTATTGATTTGGTATACTATGTAACACCTTTTAGGCAAATCTTATATGAGATAAGTGCAAATGTGATGAGGTGGATATATAGTTGAATAAGTCAGAGAAAATTGCGAATTTTTTGGGTAGAATAATAAATCTCTAATTAAAAATAAAATCGTGTGGATCCTGTTCAAATCTGTGAACTTAAATTTGATCCAAATTGAATAATGCCGCACAGCAATCAGATAAAATCAGTTTTATAAACTTATTTACGAACGAAATGACGACAGACATAATACCATGATTGGTAAAGAAATTGTGACCAAATTAGTATTTTGTTGACAAATTACAATGGGGTATTTATTTCATCTATAACAGAATTAGTTTTTCTTTTTTTTTTTTTTTTTGTTAGGAAACCCTCAGTAATCTGTTGGATTATTATTTTTTATTTTTTAAAATATCTTTAGTCAGTAAACGGTTGGTAAATTTGTGGCCATCCAGAATTCTCATCTCAAATACATTATTTATTTTTATTTAATAATTCTATCAATGTACATGTACCGAGAAAAAAAAAATCAATATTGATCTTTGATTGAAAAATCATATTAAATCAGCTGTATGAATAAAAATAATATGCCACACATTTTCGAAAAGAAATAAAACTTATAAGTGCAACTGTAGAGATAGATTTAATAATCTATAATATTAATAAAAAAAATATTATTTATGAGTAAACATAAAACTTAATGTAAGTTTTTTAATAATTTAAGTAATGTTAGTGGTAAGTGCATATACTATCAGAAAATAGATATATGCAAATAAATATATGAAAATAAATAAAATCAATAAATGTTAAAAACGTTAATTATAAATCTTGAATTTTGTTATCAAATGTTATTTTTATTAATATTTTTTTATTTATATTTGTTATATTTGATTGGATATATTTTTTATTAATATTTTTTATTTATATTTGTTATTGTTATATTTGATTGGATATATTTTTTAAAAATAAATTTGAAATAAAATTTACATAATTAAATTTGGAATGCTGAACAATTGAAAATTTTAATTTAAAAAAAATATATATTATTTTATTGATATATTTATATGTTTATATACATTGAAAATATTTTTTTGTTAGGTAAATTTTGAAAGAGTTTTATTCTTAATAATTTTTTTTTCGTTACTGAATAATTTGTAACTATTATTATTTTTCATTATAATTATATATAAATATTGATTTGATGTTGAAAGCAAGGGATTGAGATTAAGTGATGACTTAATTTTCTTTTTTTGCACCTATTAGGATTTTAAAAATCTGTATTTATAAATTAGAGACTAAAGAATTAAGTCTAGAGATTGAATTAAATTTTATTCTGAGACTACTTCATTATATAATATAAATAAAAAAATAGATATACGACGAATATAATCAACGTGATGTCCTGCAAAACACTACTATAAATAGTATCCAATTTCTAATTGTTTTTCTTTTGGCAGGGCCGCTTTGAAATTCTGTCTTTACGTGGATCATTTACATTTGGCAAAAAAAATGGGGCACGAGCACATAGCAAAACTGGCATGTTAAGTGTTTCTCTCGCAAAACCTGATGGCGGGGTTTTTGGTGGCGGTGTTGTTGGCTCCTTAATAGCATCGGGACCTATTCAAGTAAGCTATCTATATATAATTTATACCTCTCCAGCAGTTCACAGTGCCGGAATTCCTCTAATTTTAAAATTTTCCTAAATTTTATTTTATAAAATATAAAAAATTTTAAAATTTACTTATAAAATAGTGAATTTCTTTTAATTTCACCCTAAAAATTTTTATTTTATAAAATAATAAAAAATTTTTTATTTTATAAAATATAAAAAATTTTAAAATTTACTTATAAAATAGTGAATTTCTTTTAATTTCACCTGCTTCGAATTTTTTGAAAATATTTTTTTCTCTCCCCTTAAAATTTATCCTAGTTCTGTCAATTCATAAATTTTATCAAAAAACCTCTTTCTTAAAATGTATTGGATGTGTCTGTTCTTCATCAGATGCGTAAAAATCATTAGAGTATCTGCTCCATTTATAAAAATTGAACTCTCGGCTTCACATAATAAAGAAAAAGAGTGTCAAATCACTCATTTTCAGTCTTTTTCATCCTTTACTTTTTCACAAGTTTTTGTTAACTTTTACTTTCTTACAAGACTTTGTGTTGAGTATAAATAACCATAAAATTTAATTATTTGTAAATTAATGAAAAATAATTATATAATATTGGAGTAAATATAAAATTAATTTTGAGTATTCATTTTTTTACTAATTTGTACTTAAAATTAATAATTGTATTCACTTGTATTTTTTTGGTTAAGTTTGGATATCATCTTTAAATTTCAACAATTTGATTAGATATTCAACCAACAATAGCAATTTCATGAAATTAAAAAAAATTAGAATTTTGAATAAACTTTTCATTTATGCAAATATCTAAACTTTTCATTTATGCAAATATCTAAAGTGCAAACTTACAAATAAATTCCTTAAATTTTAGAGAATTGATTTGTTTCAACTTTTTCAGCTAATTTTGGCGAGTTTCAAGCAAAATATTAGTAAGAATATCAAATTGAGTCAATTGGCTAATTCTTCAACAGCTGGTGGGACTTTGCTTGCGGATTCAGAAATTGCAAAATTTCCCATACAAATTGCAGCAATTACAGAGGGTGAAGGGAATTGCACAGACTCTGCTAATACATTACCTGTAAGCCAACAACACATGTTGAAAATTGGTCCTCAAGATATATTTCAGCTTCCACAACCCATTTCAGGAGAAAGGGCACTGTCTCCAGATAAAAATTCCATTAATAATATTTGAAGTAAGGGTTGTGGGATTCTTAATTTCTTTTTCTTTCTGTTATGTTTCTGATTATAGCCCTTAATTTGGTTTGGTGTTGGTAAGACTTTTAGATGTGAGGATTTTGAGTGTGAGAACAAATATGTCATTTTGAAATATCGAATACCTTTAGTTTAATTATCTGCATAATCGTTAATATAAATGAATGTGGAATTTATTTGAAATGAATGTGGAATTTATTTGACAATTCATACATATATTTTCCAGATAAACTTGTTTTCCTTCAAAAAGTAAAAAGAAATATGATACTAACAAAATAGCTTTTAGCGTTTTGATCAAGTTAAAATTATATTTCTAAATTAATTGTAGTCGTTGGATCTATTAAATACTCTAAACGTTTAACTAGTTTTTAATTAAAATTTTTAACGATCATACCTAGGGGATCGAAGTGGGTGTGGATATTATTGAAGAATACTCATCCCGCTCACTCCATTTAAAGAGGAAATAATTAATAGTTATAAAATGGAATTTGGAAACGGATACGAAATAGTGAAATTACTAACCGTACCTGTTCCCGCCAGCCCGCTATATTAGCGGGTTTGGGCATGTGTACTTATGGGTATCTATCCATTATTACTAAAATTATAATATTAAAACAAATTCAAAAACTTGGATACTTAAGATTAGCGGATACTCTACTTATATAAGAGGTACTTTAAATAAGTTTTGGATGAGTATGAGTAGTAAAAATTTAACGGGTTCGGAATGCAGATATTTAAAATAGATATTTGAAAGGATTTAGATACGAATCCGAATAGTAAAAAATTTTTTAAATGAAATATGGGTAGGGTAGCTTCAAATTCGTGATATTCTCCGCTTTTCATCCCTAAAGCATAACTTATTGTTTTTTTTACCTCCAAAATTCAATTAGTTTAAACAACTAATATTCTTTTTTAATGAACTATTTTTTTTTCTGAATAAATTTATAATGTAAACCGCTATAGTAAAAGCTACAAACTAAAGCTATAAGTTAACAACTAACAACTAAAATAAAACACAATAATAGCTAACGTTACGATAGAATACTAAATATCTTTTAAATTTATAATAAATTTATCTGTTCAAACCGTTTAGTTATAAAAAAAATATAGTTGGAATACTAAATAATAAAAAAATGACCAAATTTCACACATCAAATTTGATAGTCCCAAATCAGAAGTTAATAAAAGATTTAGTCTAAGAAAGGTTTTGGATAATTTTTGTTCAATAATGCCTTCTGCTGCAAAGATACAAGGATTTTAATAGGAAGAGAAAATAACGCAACTAGTGGCCTATTCTAAAGGCGCACAAACGGCAACAATTGAGTGAAAAGTAAGGGGAAATAATGGCCTGCCAAACAATCTCAACAACATATTATGAATTTTTAAAAATTCAACATGAAACTGATTAATAATAATTAATTAAAAAACAATTGCAGCAGTAAAAGGGAATAGTTTTTGCAGCAGCAACTCCAGTCCTCAAAAACTTCTTCATTCATCCACACGAGTCCCTTGAAGACCCTTCTTGGTGGAGTGCTAACATTACCGCCCCCTCGGACCAATAACCTTGTCCTCAAGGGTTTAAGGTTTGCATAGTTTTCTCTTTGATGAAAGTTAGAGTCGACGCCAAGAAGCATCTTTCGGTAGCAATTTCTTCAAACTTAATTAGTTCTGGTTCAAACCATATTTGGCGCCTCTCTTAATCAGCGTGTATTCAATATAAGCCTCAGGTTCTAAAATCAGCTATTACATCATCCAAAAAATTTGGAGGGATTGGAGGCAGCGATTGAGAAGTCAGAACTGTATCACCAACCCGTTTTCTCAAAAGCGACACATGAAAAACTGGATGGATGCGAGACTCAGCTGGAAGTTTAAGTTTATAAGCTACATGCCCGATTTTTTCCTCAATCTGAAATGGGCTATAAAATCTGCAAGCAAGCTTTTGATGCTGTCGAGCAATCACAGACTGTTGGCGATAGGGATGGAGTTTTAAAAATACCCAATCACCAACTGCAAACTGTACATCATGCCTTTTTGCATCAGCATATTGTTTCATTCTATTATTGGCAGCCGCAAGATTAGATTTCAAATTAGATTTCAGCTGTAGGAGTTAAAGCATCTCTAGAAAGGAGATTTTTGATCAACTTCATTGACAGAAACTTGTTACCTTCCACGATAACGTGATGGTAGATGGCAAGTCCCCGTATAACGCTTGAAAGGGAGTATTCCCTGTGGATGATAAATGGAAGGTTGTAATTGTACCAATATTCTTGCCCAAGGCAAGAAAAGAATACCATCCGGCGAGTGCTGTTGAAACACAAAGCAGCGAAAGATAACTGCTCATACAACGATTAACACCTCCGTCTGTCCCGTCTGTTTGTGGATGATAAGCGGAACTCATCTTCAGCTGTTGTCCCTAACATTTTTGAAAAAAACTCACGCCAAAAATTAACTGATAAATTTGGGTCACGTAGGTCAGAGATGATGATTTCGTGCATTCCATGAAGTTTGACTATGTTTTCAAACAAAAATTTTCAGGCCACCTACCTTGGCTTGAAATATGGGTGAGGCCAAGAAGTGAGCTGATTTGCTCAGCCTGTCAACCACAACCAAAATAGAATTCTTACCATGTGAAGTTGGCAATCCATCGATGAAATCCATAGTAATGTCATCCCAAAGTTGGCAAGGAATTGGAAGAGGTTGGAGCAACCCGGCCAGAGATAAGGCCTCACTTTTGACACGTTGGCAAATCTCACAAGCAGGTACATACTTCTGCACTGATTTATACATTGAGGGCCAATAGAATTGCGGAGCCAGCCTTTTATATGTTCTCAAAACACCAGAATGGCCGCCAAGAGGAGAACTATGGAACTCATACAATAATTGCTGAATAATGGGAGATTGAGGGGGTACAACAACCCTATTTATTTTTGTAGCATATCAGTCCATTCTGCCCCTTGTAGGGGCTACTAGAATTGGTTGAAGCTTCCTTGCCAATCTTGAGCATATAAGGATGGGTTTTGGCTTCATCTTGGATTGTATCCCATAATTGAGTTTGGGAAACAAACAAAGCGTCTAGACTTGGGCTGCCAGAAACCCTAGATAGCGCGTCAGCAGCTCCATTTTCTTTCCCCGGCCTGTAACAAATTTCATAATCTTACCCAAGGAGCTTAGAAACCCATTGTTGTTATTCAGGCGTCACCACCCGTTGCTCCAATAGGTGTTTGAGGCTGCGTTGATCTGTATAAATAAGAAATTTACAGCCAAGTAAATATGGTCGCCAAGTCTGGACTGCCTGTACGTAAATATGGTCGCCAAGTCTGGACTGCCTGTACAATAGCCAACATCTCTTTGGCATAAATGGACCAAGATCGTTTACTGCTGCCCAAGGCTCTGCTCATGAATGCAACCGGCCTGCCCTGCTGTGTTAGGACTGCACCGATGCCCTCACCAGAAGCGTCGCACTCAATGACAAAAGTGTCATTAAAATTTGGTATAGCAAGGGTGGTAGTGGTTGTCATTGTCGTTTTCAGCCGTTGGAAGGCTATGTCTGCTCCCTCATTCCATTGGAAATTCCCTTTCTTCAAAAGATTAGTGAGCGGCTGAGCTACGAGGCCATAATTGCAGACGAACTCTGTAATAACCTGTAAGTCCCAAAAATCCACGTAATTCAGTGATGTTAGTGGGTGTAGGCCAATTCAACATAGCCACAATTTTAGTTTGATCCACTTTAACCCCATAAGGAGTAACAATATGACCTAAGTACTCCAATTCTTGAGAGCCAAAAGCACATTTGCTACGTTTTATAAAGAGTTGGTGCTGCCTCAAGGTGTCTAGGGCTGTTTTGACATGTTCGAGATGGGTATTCAGTTTGGACTATCCAGTTTGGGCTATAAATCAAAATATCGTTAAAAAAGACTAAGACGAATTTTCGAAGGAAGGGGCGAAAAATTGAGTTCATGACTGCTTGAAAGGTAGATGGAGCATTACATAAGCCAAAGGGCATGACTAAATATTCGTAATGTCCATTATGGGTATGAAAGGCAGTTTTTGGAATGTCTGTGGAATGAACTCGAACTTGATGGAATCCCGCCCAAAGTTCTAATTTTGTAAAGTAAGTAGCTCCATGGAGCTCATCCAGCATATCATCGATGGTAGGGATAGGGAATCTATCTTTGATTATGACTGAATTCAGTGCTCTATAGTCGGTGCAAAACCGCCAAGACCCGTCTTTCTTTTTCACCAGTAAAACAGGAGATGAAAATGGACTAATACTAGATCTGATCAGTCCAGATTCTAACATATCATGCACCTGTTTCTCAATTTCAGCTTTCTAGAAGTAGGCATACTTGTATGGCCGTATATTGACAGGTTCAGTACCTTCAAATTGATGTGGTGCTCGATTTCTCTTGGTGGAGGTAATTGAATCGGTTCTTTGAACACATCCTGGTACTGATCCAAGAGTGACTGCAGATCAGGGTGTATTTCCACTGTACCCATGGCAGTATTGGTACAAATGGCGAAAACTGAACTCCCATGTCTTGTTTCCTTGGAAATTGCTCATGTCTTGTTTCCTTGGGAAATTGCTTGCAGCAGAGGCTGGCTGGATAACTGGTGTCTTCAAATCCCTCAATTTGTAAGTGCAATCGTTCCACATGAAACTCCATTCGTAAGATGTTGTTCCAATTGCAAGCCACCATTCCCAATTGTTCCAAGCCATTGAATCCCCTAGAACCATAAGTCCAATCCACTCAAAGGTAAGGCATACAGAGTAAAACAATAAATGGAATACCTTGGAGGTGGATAGGAACATTCATTGAATCGGCCCTGGCATTCTAGTGACTTTCCATTTGCGACTTTTGATGTTGCCAGTTTGGTAAGAACGACTGGGCAATTGTAGTATATCAGGCTACTTTGTCATTGGATGAAAATTATGTGTAGATCCACTGGTCGATTCAAAGCTACGAAGTTTATGAAGAGCCGATTGCCGCCACCACTCGCATGGTTCTTATGAGTCGACAACCAGGAGTGCGTGGAAGGGGATTTCTGGTTTGATTCCTCTTCGTCATCCTATGCTTTGTTCCTACGAAAATTTTGCAAGAGTTTCCCCTAAAAATTAACTTGCCACACAAAGAAAATATACACACTTCCAATTTTCTCCAAACCCCCAAAACTCCAGTTCACACAACATACCACAAGTACTTCTAAATATCTATCAACGTACGCATAATATTCTAAACACATTCTTTTCAAGGAATCTATAATCATCATACACCAAAAATATAATAAAATGTTATTTCCGTAAATAATCATAACTCTTAATACATTATAAACTTATTATATCCAACCTCCACAACACAATATTTATATAGATGCCAAAAATCACCATTTACAAAATATTACCCAAAATATGATATCTACTCTGATGCTACTCCTCTGGTCTTGATGAACACCCTCCGCTCCTAACCTGCGCGTGATAAAAATCAACGCGCTGAATGAAAAACTCAGTGGTGCTAAATAACCAACAATTAAAATAACAAAAATAGCCAAGGAAAATCTCACAAATGCTTTAAATTACTCAACTATATAAATACCGAAATCACATTCATTTAATTCAAATACTTTGAAAGCAATGAGAAGCTTATAAATACAAATATGTCTTCATTCTTTTATAGCAACAATAAAATTTCATTTTTCGTTAAGGCTCGTACTCATGCAGAATGAACATAAGCAGATTCCGTGGTGATCGTGGCCTATATTAGCGCCACCCCCATCGCACAATCGTGGCCTATGAAAGCACCACCCCATCACACAAATAAGCGCGTCCGCCTATTTGTAAGGGATGATAACCCTAGCATATGATCATAGCTTCACAATAACAAAATCAATCTCATCATACCACGTTTCAATCATGCATAGTAGAGCCCATCGCACACCGTGGCCTATGAGCGGTGGCTGTGAGCGATGGCTGTAGTGACAGTGCACTCACCTTAGGCGAATCCCACATCGGTTAAGTGTGAGAGGGAAGTGATGTACTTAAGGTGGGCCGGTTTAATTTAAAACATTGTGTGAGGCCTTTTTGGTGGTTGAAAATGGCTGGAGAGTTGGAAGAACTCCAGTGTTAAGCGTGCTCGCTTAACCGGAAATCCTAGGATTGGGTTGACCTCCTGGGAAGTTTCCCCTGGGAAGTTTCCCATTTCCCCCAAGAACAAAATCGTGCGGGCCGTAGGGCCCAGAGCGGACAATATCACACATGGGCTGGGCCGTTACACCTTGAGCACGTCGTTTCTGCATTTGGTCCCAAGTTAATCGGCGTATGGGAGTGTCTTTTTTAATTGGCGACGAAGTGGAGGATAAAGCAGGAGTCGCTGAATTAGGTCGAGTGATTCGCTTCTGCCAAGAAAGCTGGTCGTCTCTCATTCTTGCCAAACTGATTGCATCTTTCAAGGTTTTAGGTTTGAACATACGGATTCCATCTGCAATCTCAAATTTCAGTCCGCCCATAAAGGTACCAACTAGCGCTTTCTGGGTCCATCCTCGAACCTTGATGCCGAGCCTTTCGAATTCTTTCTGATAATCACGCAAGGAGCTTGACGAATTTTAGATAGAGATTCGTCAAAGTCCTCACAATCGGTCGGACCAAACCTCGCCCACATCTCGTCTTCAAAAATCTCCCAAGTTACTTCCTTGCCTTCTTCCTGGTATGCCCTGCATGTGGTAGGAGGCTAAAGACACCTTTTCAGCTGCTGGTATAGCTTGGAAGTCAAAAAACTGTTTGGCTCGTGTGAGCCACTCTGTTGGACCATTGCCAGAGTACTTTAGACACTCAAGCTTAGTCAATTTTGAGGAGAACATTGGCCTTCCTCTTTCTGTTGAGTCATTTCTGCTATGGTGTTGTGGTTGGCTCGAACGCTCAGCGGAGTGGCTACTACTGCCATCTCGGTTGGACAACACTGTTTCAGATAATTTTGACATCATGTCCTCCAGGCGTTGCAATTTGTCAGCAACCCCAGTTTCCATACGTCCCACAGTGTCTTGAAGTTGTCCCAACCCTGCTTCTGGGAAGAGAAAAAGAAATGGGGTAGATTGGCTCTGATACCAATTGATAGGTCCCAATCAGAGTTAATAAAGATTTAGTCTAAGAAGTTTGATAATTTTTGTTCATAATCCTTCTGCTGTAGATACAAGGATTTTAATAGGAGAGAAAATAAACCAACTAGTCCTATTCTAAATGCCACAAACGGCACAATTGAGTGAAAATAGGCAAATATGCTGCAACAATCTCAACAGCATATCTGATTTATTCAACATGAAACTGATTCATAAAATAATTAATTAAAAACAATTGCAGCAGTAAAAAGATAGTTTTGCAGTAGCAACTCAGTCCTCAAACTTCTTATTCATCACATGAGTCCTTGAAGACCTTCTTGGTGGAGTGCTAACACAATTATATAATTAATTTTGTTTACACATAATCCAGGAAAAAAAATTATAAAGTTGAATATACTAAAATGTCAAACATTAGCAAATAAGCGATAAGTTTTAGCGTCGAGAGTCATTTGTCTAACTGCTGCAATTGCTGCAATAACTCCTAAAGCAGAGAAAACAACTGCAATGGTAGTATTCAACCAGAAAATAAGGCTCTTCTTGGAGGGCTTAAACGTCAAGTTGAAGAAAACAACGGGCAAGATAAAATCAAGAGGCATGAAACCAAATGCTCCAATCAAAGAATTTATGTCTCCAAAAAATGGAAGCATTGCTGCTATTGTAGTTGATATGATCACAGACAACGATCTTGACACTATTCTTGGTACAACGTTACGCGTCGAAAATTCTTTGCTCCTTGCGTCTGCAAATGTTCTTTCCAACACCTCATTTGTTGGCTGCAAGTAAACCTGTAAACACACCATATATTATGAGTATTTAATATTTATCTCTCAAAATGTTTCAAATTGAAACCAATTTGAACTTGGGTAGCTTCAATTTTATAATTTCAACCTTATAATAGATAGATTTATGTAATTTTTTAATGAAAATCCAAAGTTAAATTTGTCGAAAAACGAGTTTCACGCGGATTAATATATAATAAAATAACTAAAGGACTTATAATTAGATAAACGATGCAACTAGCACAATCTAATTGGTTTTCTTCAAGTGGATTCCAACAAGTTCTTTTTATAACCCGATGTATGTATGGATTCCATGAATCGACCTGTGGTAAAAAGTTAAATTAAGGCTGGCTCGGTTGAGTTTGTTGGTGCGAACGACTCGATTAAGTTTTTCTAAATCGAGTTGGACTTAATTAAATTAATTACTTATTCATAAGCTAAATCGAGTTGGACATAGTCAGGTTCTGCGCTAGAACGACTCGATTTGATTAAATTCCCAAGTTAGATAACTTAATAAAGAGAGAATTCTTACCACAGCAACAGCAGATAATTGGAGAATAGTGAAGGTGTTGGTCATCAAAACGAACCATTTAGGGACCAAAGGCTTTCCACTTGTTACAAAGTTGCTAAGGATGAGACCTTCAGCTTTGTTTCCAAATGCCCAATATCCAGAAATGGCTACACTAAAGAATGTCACTGTCACTACACTGTAACATATAACAAGTCCCTTCAACATCTTCCCTTTCACTGGTGCTGCTATGGTTGCCTGCAACCATTTTTATTTTTTAAATTAAAAATTAAACATTAAATCTATCTTTTAATTATAATAATATTACATACTATTCAAACCTGAATTTCTGGAATGATCCCATTGCCATATGTTGTCGCGATGATAGCAATTGCATTACAGAATCCAAAAACACGGTCTTGAGTGTCTCCTTTTAGAGAATAGTCCTTTGGTTCCTTTGATGAATTTCCTGTGAAAAAAGAATAGTTAAATTAAGAATTAAAATTTTAATTTTTAATTCAAATTACTTACACAAATTACTAATATTATCATAGAATTAATCGTTGAAATACTAAACTTATAATTTTACTTGAAAAATAAATTTGAATACTCAATTATTTCAAATAACTTATTTTTAATTAATTAAAATTGATTTAAGGTTCGATTTAAAAAAATAAAAATAAGATATATTTGAATCTAGCACGTGGCACATATTTTGATGCACATACCAATATGAACAGAACCAGCAGTGGCACAGGCACTATAAGCTAGGCATAGAAGCAAGGATATCAAATTGATGTGTCTTAGAGAGTGAAAAGATGGGATTTGAGCTAATATCAACATTAAGCATCCAAATATTATCACAAACTCATAAAGCTTTATGCTCCCATTTGGATTTGATAGCAAGTAAATTGCCTGCATTATAAAATAAATAAATAAATAAATAAAAGGGTATAAATTAATTTTTTATTTTAGATACTTAAAAAAATTTTAAAAAAAAGAATATTATTTGTAACCATAATCTATTTTTACCTTCATGCATTGGCCTCCAAGAAGTGTACAAGCAACAACAGCACCATAACACACCATGAACTGAATTGGACCCACATAATACTTGGCCCACCTTGGTCCTACAAAAAAAAATTGATCTTAATATTAAGAAAATGGTAACATGTAACAATTAAATTAGAGTTTGCACTTGCTAAAAAAATTTTCACCTATTTAGCTTTCTTGGTAATCACTAATGTTTTCATTATTATGTGAAAATATAAGTATCATAAAATTTTCAAACTGAAACTGCTAGTTTTGATTTTAGAAATGAAAATTAAAAAAAAAATCATAGACACATATTTTCAATTTCAAATTTGAAATAAAAAACCATTAATCATGACTTTATTTAATTTAGATGAATTTGATTTCAATTGGCTTTTAGTTCAAAAACGGATCTTGGCTTTTAGTTCAAAACACGGATCAGTTTGATATAATAATATAATATACAAATAAAAAAATAAGCAAATTAGGGAAAATTTACCTGCCGCCAGCGATATTAAATTTTAAATTAAGAGTTCAAAATTAAAAAAAAAAAAAATTCAAAGCAAAATCGAAAAAAAAAAAAAAAAAAAAATCAAGCAAAATCGTTGACTGGTAGGTGTTTCTGATTACTTCCTTTTTAACTATTTTCATTTTGTATATCCTAACCAGTGCACCTTCTATTCACAAATAAAAATCATTTTAAAATAATTTCTTTTATTATATTGATATATGTCGATTTGAATATACCCCTCCTAAAGAAAATGTTTTTTATGTAGGAGTAATTAATAAAGAGTTTTTCAAATTTACCCTTATTTATATTTAATATGATAAATATGTAACGATATGAGATAAATAATAATTTTATCAGATTAATAAATATTTAGTTATAATTTAGGTGAAATAATTATTTAATTATTATGCAATAATTTTACATAATTTATATTTGTGGATAAAAAAAACGGTAGGAATGATTGTGTAAAAGGAGAAGAAAAATTGAAATTCAATACTTCATTTACCTAAAATATGTCAAAGTCGCACCAAAACAGTATTCTAATTACGTAAAGCAGATGACTTTATAAGCTAATAATGTGTTGGGAACACCTAATTTTGTAGTCCTTTTCATATTTTATCTTTTTATAAAAATTTTAATTGAATTAATAATTAATTTTTTTTGACAAAATTAGTTAATAATTAAGCAGTTGAATATTTGTTATACAGTATAAAATTAAGAGTTTTTATTATATCGGTATATTTTTTATTTTTAATAAATCTTACTTTTTAAAAATCATTTTTAATTAATAGATGTTTCACAAGATAATAAGTAAAATTTCCCCTTCAATCTATGTAAAAAGGTGCATCAGTCAAATTAAATCAAATTAAATTTATGTAAAATTTTGCCTTTTTTTTTTAGTTTTCTATCTAGTATCAGAAATTCACTAGCCCGATTAATCCGGATTTACATCAGATAGACCGTAAAAAGAAAAAAGTTTATTTCTGAATATTTAAAAGCACTCTATGCTTGAAGCTCGAATTTAAAAACACGTTCTTAAAAACATTTTGAATTATCAAAATTTGATTTTTGGAGTATCCGAGTAGAGAGACCAATATAATTGAACAACTAGTAGTGGAGTATGTCAATTTTGCACTAATTATTTGAGGCAGTTGGTTGAAGGGACCCTATAAATATAATTGAAGGAAAATGTGCTAAAAAGGACATGACTAATTCGACCATTTATGACCAAACCAATGTCTCAATTTATTGAAAGATTGTACTCGTCAACCTTAACGGACAATGGCATTCATTATTTGTTAGGCATTCCAATTTATTGAAAGTACTCTGTACTCTCACCTCTAAAAAGGACATGACTAATTCGACCATTTATGACCAAACCAATGTCTCAATTTATTGAAAGATTGTACTCGTCAACCTTAACGGACAATGGCATTCATTATTTGTTAGGCATTGCAATAAAGAAAGCAGATTTTTTTTTTTTTTTATTAGTATTGGGATAGGGAATTCGAACTGGATCTATTGTCAAATCGTATATATATTTATTACTGGTGTCTGAAACCAGATCTATTTGCTAGTAGCTTATTGTAGGATAATTCTTTTAATCTATTTCTTGCAAAAATACTTCAGACATGTGTTTCAAGAAAACTCATTATGGAAAACTCATTTATAAAAAATTTGGAATACTAAAATTATAAACAAGTTCAAATTATAATGAAATCTGGATAATTTTTTTAGACGGAAAATGATATCACAGAGCAGTTTTTATATCATGTATCATATTAAATTCATATGTTTATTTCAATTAAGGAATATTCTTAGTTTGGTATAATTGCTCGAACTCATTATCTTTAAAAAAAAAAATTAGAAATTTATATTTTTGCCCTAATTTTAAGGCAATGATTTTTATTTTATATATTATTAGATGTTGATGAATGCTTAGCAACTACCTAAACAAGAAACAACTAAAAACTAAAGGAAAATAAAGAATAAAAAATTTTAATTAAATAAAAGAGAAAAGAGAATGTGTTATATATAAGATGAGACTTGCTTACATCCCGGTATATGAGTCGACCTATATACAAAAACCAATCAATGACGAGATTTTTCAAAAGTTGTTAAAGTTTTTATCTTTTTTTTTTTCAGTGAATATTTATAAATATGTCCATTTTAACCAAAAATTTAATTTTAATTAATTTTAGTGTATAGATAAACTCATATATCGATTGTAAATAAGTCTTTCTTGTTATATATAATACAGTCTTACCTAAGATTTGATTAGCCATGTCTCTAAAGCGAAGTTGGCGATTACCCAAAAGAGCATGATGTTCAAGAACCAAAGACAGTAAGTTATAGGAATAGAAAGTGACCAAAGCTCCAATAACAAGACATGATATTCCAGCTCCCCAACCCAGAAATGTGAAAGCATATGGGAGGCTTAGAAGAGGTGGAGCCACTATTGATGTTGTCAAGTGGTATCCACAGTGAAGCCACGATCCTACATTAATTAAATTGGTAAAATATTATTTTAATAATACTAAATTAATTGCTAAAAATGAAACATCTCAATCCCCATATCTCTCAGTAATGATGTTACTGTAATATATAATTAGTATGCGATGGCAAAATTAATTATTTTCAATATTTAATAACAAAAGAAAAGAGTGGTTCATCTATAATACCAAAAGGAAAAGGAAAAAGAAAAAGAAAAAGACAAAGAGAAGGGTTGTTTACAAAACTACAAGAGTTTTGGAATGTGATTATGCTTAATATTATTTTAAAACTAGTTTAAAAATATGCTTAAAAGTTAAAAACTATTCACTTGTGCTTTTCATTTCCCATCAATTGACAAAAATAGAAACATAAAGTCATGAAAAATGTGTGGATGATAATAATGATAGTTCGAGGTGAGATACACAACTAATTATATATAGTGATGGCTGAAAGAGAATTTTAATTCTAACAAAAAAATATTTTTCTTCAAAAAAAAAAAAAAAGGAAATGATACAAATTGAGCAAAAAGATTATATTCATAATTTTTTTTTTTTTTGTCAGTAATCGAAGTTCAAAAACTTTTTTTTTCCTTTTCATTTTTGTTGAACTGTCTTTAAAGAAGATGATCATAAAAGAAAAGAGAAAGAAAGTATGATACCTTTGGATTTGAGAACAAAAAGAGCGCCAGCATCAAGCTCTTTTGCTTCTTGTTGTGGAAACTTCCCAATATCTTCCTCACCGTTCACTGACACAGTTCCCATCTCTCTGGCTTTCCCTCTCAGCAAAGGAATAGTTTATAAGAAGAAGAGAAAGCAGAGGAAAAAGGTGAGCGAAATTATTAGAATTGAAAAGAAGAAAAATATATATACCACCCTTTAAACAATAATTAATAATATATATATGAATTTAGTAAAGAAAAGTCAAAGAACTGACTTTAATGATTTGTTCACTGATCTGTCCACATATGGACTTTCCCTCTCTCTAATAACAACAACCCTTCAATAAGACAAAATACTACTTAACATTCCAACTTGCTATATTGTATATATAATATTTGTGGATATTTTGAGACAAAAAAAATTATAAAATTGACATTAATACAGTTTCTCTACATGTATGTCCAATAGCCTACACGTTTTGGTTAGTAATAAATACCAAATTGGAATATGAAAATATTATTATAAAAAACTAGGAACAACTTAGCATTAACATCCAAACATTAAATAGAAAATTGGGATAAAATGGTTGAAACTCTCACTTTATTAAAGGGTTTAAATTTGAGCTTTAGATGTAAAAATTTAGAATCGGCCGTTATATGGGACCTATAATACTCAAACCGAATTTAATTGAAGTTCAGGAGAAAAAAAGATTCAACTAACAGTGATGAGCAAATTTTGTTCGTCCTGTATCAATTTTAAGATCTTAATGATTAATGCTAAGTGAAAAAAAAAAAAAAAAACCAGTAACATGAAAATAATAAATCAGAAATATAATTTGGAGGCTCTTTCTAAATAGTTTGCCTAGTACGATGAATAGCAGCGTAACTATACTATGAGCTACTATATTTGCTCGATGTCTAATCCAATGGACAACCCATCCATTGTCTAAATACAATAATTTTTTACAATCTGACAAAGTATTATCGAACCCATGTAAACATAAGTCTCTTGACATAGCTATGAAAGCACCTCTCTTTGGGCCAGAATTACATACAAGAGAACCTGGGATGGCACAAATAAAAAAGACCCTGAAAATGACATAATATTACCGCATACAATTTGCTTGCTTCTTCAAAAATCGCAGCATCCACATTGCATTTGAGTCTCCGGTTTAGTCCAACTAGAGCTACTTGTTCAACATTGGCTAGCGGTAGAGGAATTCTGCCTGCGCATCTGACGTAGCATGCAGGCCATACCATGAAAGGGATTAACTTAGGATTAGGTTTAAGCTTGAGTGATCCTCTATCATCTCTCGGACAGAATTCTATGCAAGAGTAAACAGTGAGATTGCACATGATATAAATAAAAGTACCTTCTGACAATCAAGGGCTCGCTTATATGTATTGCCGTGTCACTCTAACGCGCTGCTGCTTCC